CAACAGGGATGATTCAGAAAAACTTAACTCATGGTTACTAAAGAATATTGAGAAGCCACTGAGTACACTGAGAAAAATGCCTAAGGGAGTGCTGTTATACTCAACTCTTCCTTAACTATGCCTTCTCTGGATTTATCAAATGGTACATATGCAAGGAGGTATCCTGTATCTGCTGAATAAATGTGTTCTCTAGGGATTTCAATGCATATTTACGCATACCTGATTCCCCTTCACAGGAAACAAAAGCAAAAATGAATATTTTTCTATGATCTCTTAGCTCAAGATATGCATCTTTAAGGGACTATTCTCTGGATCTAGGAAAAAAAATGTTTTTAAAGAATTCAAGGTCAAATAGTCTCCTTACCAGTCTTCCAATATATGTGTTTAATATTACCAAAAGTAATTGAAGACATCTGAACACACTATAAGGCACCTACAAAAATAATTTTAATACATTTCATAACAACAGTCCTGCAACTGAAAAAATAAGAGTACAACAGATCACATGGTTTCAAATATTTCTATATCCCAAAAGATTTCAAAAGCAACCAATTTTTTGGAAAGGTATAAGCCTTTAAAATATAAAAACAATAGTTATGATGCATTTCTTCATCTCATAATCAGAAGAGTATATGCCAAAGGTTGTCAGCCCCTGAAAAGCAGTACTAAATTAGCAATCTTTATATTTCTGGCACAATGGCAGGGGATGGATGGAGTAATGGTGGCGGTTATTCACTAACACTCAGTGGGAGAAAGGAGCAAAGAACATAATGATTCTTGCAAGCAGCACAGAAGAATGTGGTAGCAGAGACAGGCTCATGTAAAAACAGCCCACATACCACTGGTTGCGGGTTCTCTGAAAGATTTCAGAGAATAGAAGAGAATGGAAGGACTAGAGGAGGGCAAATTCAATTCAATAAGCATTTATTAAGTACCAACTATGTTCCAGGCACTGTGCTAGGTATTAGGGAATACAACACAACATGAAACAGTCCCTGCCCTTAAGGAGTTTACACTCACTTGTAGATAGAAAATTAAATCTAAAACATATAAGAATTAATTTCCCAGGGTCAGGCATTAACAGCGAAGAAGACCAGAACAGGTTTCCTGTAGGAGGTGGTACCTGAGCTGAGCTTTAAAAAAAGATAGTGACTCTATATAGCAGAAATAAGAAGTCAGGAAACTCATGGATGTCAAAAGTCTTTGGTTTGAGTCTCAGCTCTGACATATTAGTTGTAACATTCTGGGTCAGTTACTTAATCTCTTAAAGCCTCAGTCTCAGTCTCTTCATCTGTAAAATGGAGATTAATTCTTATACTACACACATCTTAAAGGAAAATCGTGCAAAAGTACTTCATAAACTGTAAAGCACTATTTAACATGATCTTTTATTATTAAATGAAAATATGGATCTGAATTCACAGAAATTTATTATAAAGGGATGGGTCAATTAGGCAGGTTATCTGAAGGCAAACTTTACTTCCCTTAAAAGAAGTCAAGACTAGTCTGTCACCAAAAACCAGTCAGGTAGTCAAGAAACACCTGAAGCAAGGAAGGTGAAGTCAGAAAACATATTTGTGGTATTGTTAGGCACCAAGAAATCTTAAAACCAAGGTAACATCAGTTGTTTCCTATATATATTTATATACTCTCTGCTATTTCCAAGTCATGGGTAGCCCAGGGGTTTCAGGGCAGAGAAATCTGGAGGAACCTGGCTATTGTAAGATGCATGGGGTTAGAGATAAAAGTAGATCTTGCCAAAGACATGGTATCAAAAATCTGACCATAAGATTATTTAGGATAAGTTCCAAATGTCAATAACTTGCTAGAGATATAATCAGTGTTTAATTTATTGAATAACAGAGTAATGTTTTTCTCCCTGAAAGCGTTCTCTGTAGGTTGGAGAGGAGTTGCTAACATGTTGTCCAAAATCACTTATGGGGGAAAGATCATTACGGGTTTGGGATTGAGGCTGGGATTAACTATAGTATTTAGGTGGCCAGAGCTCCTGTTAACCCAAACTTACCTTATTTAGTTATCTGTGCTCCTGAGTAGCTTGAAATGTTACATAAGTGTCATAGAATTTTAGAACTGGAAGAGACTATGAATATCATATAGACCAGCATTTCTCAAATTGAGCTCCACTTGAAATGTAGTTTTCCTCATAAAAGTTTGATGCTAGCAATATAAGCACTGAATTTAAAATACTGAATTAAGATTACATATAAAAATATCTGCTATATGAAGCAATTTCAGAACGAAAATAGGCTTCATTTTGCCTGTTTTGCTTTAAGGTTTCCCTGACTCCAACTCCTTTTATTTCAAGGTGTTCAACACTTTCACATTCAATCGTTTAACAAGCAAGTATTATATTATGCCAGGCACTGTGCTAGGTATTAGGGATACAAAGAATGAAACAATCCCTACTCTCAAGGAACCTACTTTCTCTCAAGGGAGAGAACAATTACATAAAAAACTATATACAGAATAAAATATAAGGAAAATAAATACAAGGAAATTAAACACAACATAGTTTGAGAGGGACAGCACTCGCACAGGGATCAGAAAAGGCTTCATGGAGAAAGCAGTGTTTTAGCTGAATCTTGAAAGGAAAGAGCAATCCTACAAGGTGGTGGTGAGGAAGAAATGAATACCAGGCATGAGGGACTGCCAGTGCAATGGCATGGAGAAGGGAAATGGAGTATCCTGTTTGAGAAAGAGAGAAAAGGCCAATTTGGCAGGATTGCAGAGTACATGGTCAGTGTACTCTGATGGAAGATGGTATGCAATGAAATTGAAAGGATAACTAAAGAGGGGAGGTTTTATTTTTATCCTTAAACAGGAATTCTTAACCTGAGGTGTGTGAACTTTTAGAGTATATTTTGATAATCATATTTTAATATAATCGGCTTCCTTTGTAATCCTATGTATTTTATACATTTAAAAACATTATTCTCAGAAGGGATCTAGGTTTCACTAGAATGCCAGAGGTGCCCATAATACAAAAAAAGGTTTAGGATCCCTAGTCATTCAAATCTGCACTTAAGAAAAATCCCTTGGGCAGCTGTACGGGGGATGATGGATGTAAAACATGACATAGGAAAACAGATGCCAGGCATAGCACTTCTTAAACTGTGGGGCGCTACGGTTCAGGGTCAAGAGTGGTCTAGGCAAGAGTTGATGAGGGCTTGAACTAAGGTGATCATGACTGTGTGAGTAGAGACAAGAGGTCCTGATGTGAGAAACATTTTGGAAACAGAAATGGAAACACATCCAACTGAATGGATATGTGAGGTGAAGAGGAGTGGGAAAAAACACTGAGGACACTAGAAGAATGTTGGGGACTTTAACAGAAACAGGAGGGAAGGACACGACTGAACAAATGAAGAACAATACTAACAACTGAAGAGGATCAAGAATGGCTGCGTGGAGATAGCACCTTCAAGTTGAGCCTTGAAGAAAGATTTAGATTCGGAAAAGCTAAGACACAGATGAGAAGGAAGCATATTTGGAGGCATGAAAAACATCGGTGAATGTATGGACGTGGGAGGTGGAACACTAAGTTCTGAGAACAGAAAGCAGGACAATTTGGCTAGAACACTGAGTAATGGGGAATATGTGAAATGAGGCTGAAAAAGTGGGTTGGAACCACAATGTAGAGAGCGTGAAATGCCAGACTCAGTAGCTCACATTTTATTCAGGAAGCAAAAGGGTCTTTGAGCAGGAATGTACCATGATTAGAGCTGTGCCTCAGGGAAATTTCAATAACTGTGAGGAGAATCAATGGGAGAAGGCCAAGATTGGAAGTGGGGAGACCAATTAGAAGGCTCTTACAACAATAACAGAAAGATGAGATGAGGGCCTGAACTAGGGTAACGGCCACATGATGTGCGGGGGGGCGGGGGGTGAAGGGGGAGGGGGGGGGGGGGAAGAATGGAGATAATTGTGAAGGCAAAAGCAATACAACTTATCAACAAATTAGATGTGGGAGGAAAGAGAGAGGGAAAAATCAATGACTCCAGGCTCTAAACTTGGCTGATTAAGAGGACAGTGATATCCTGATTATAAACAGGGAAGTCTGAAGGAGGATACTGTTAAAGGCAAAAGATAACAAATAAATTTGGAATAGGCAGTCAGGTGGTGCAGTATACAGAGTGCCAGCCTCAGATACTTACTAGCTATGTGACCCTAGGTAAGTCGCTTAATCCTGTTTACCTCAGTTTCTTCATCTGTAAAATGAACTGGAGAAGGAAATGACAAATTATAAAGGTAGGAGAACAAGGAAAGAGTAGTATTCTGGAAGACAAGGTAGGGGAAAGTATCCAGGAGGAGAGAATGACAAAAAGAGTCAAAAGTTGCAGGAAGGTCAAAGAGGATGAGTACTGAGAAAAGGCCACTAGATTTAGGAATTAAAACTACTGGTAACCTTTGAGGAACAGCTTCAGCTGAGTGGTGGAGGAAGATGGAAAGACTATTTACGTGGGTAGTGAGATCGAGGAGGCACTGAGTGTAACTACACAATATTAGACATAATGGAGAGGAATTTACCTGTTTTACAGCAAAAACAAAACCACACACAAGCTTCCCTTCCCGGGAAGTTATTGAATATCTGTTCCTATAACTGGAAAGCCTATGGAAATTACTTTACAGTGATCCACAAGTTCCCTTTTCCTGTCCAGCTATTTCATGAAAACCTGCGTAACTGTCATTTGTTTCTAGACTTGGGGTTATCTCAGAATTTATTAATTCACTCTACCTCCGCTGTTATGTCAAAGATCACCTGGTGTCTTGCTCTGACAAGGATTACTGGGCTTCACCCTCCTCCCACTCTGCAGTCAGGGGTGCTCGCATCTCCTAGGGAAGGAGGGGGAGTCCTACCTAGGGGTCCTCCCCTCCCAGAGGCCCCGTTCTGGAGGCCGAGCCCCCCTCCCCCGAGCCCAGAATAGGCTCCCCCACGCTCTGGGGGAGGGGGGGTCTGGAGTGAGGATGCCCACACCCACCTCTGGCGTCCGTGGGGTCGAGGTCGGGCAGCGCCGTGGTCACGCTAGGGGTGGGGGTGGGATGGGGGTGGGGGACACGCTGACTAACAGACGGACTGAAGAGGGAATGAAGGGCTGGGCCGGCGCCCTCCGTGGTCTCGGCCAGGCCGTCCCGCTCCCACGGGAGAAGAAAAGGCAGCCCGGGATCCCGGGCCCGGACCTGGCTGGTACCTTTAACTCCGCCGAGCAGCGGCAGCAGCGTCCCCGCTTCCCCGAGCCAGGCCCATCTCTCAGCGGCGGCTGCACGGCGACTGACAGGCGGAGGGAGGGAGGGAGAAGAGGGGGCAGGAAGGCAGGCAGGCACGGAAGGAGGCAGAGCGCGCAGGCGCAGGCGCCACTGCGCTCAGGGATGAGGGGAGGGGAAGCTGCTCCCGCAGAGGCGTAGGCAGCGACGGAGTCGAGCGCCCCCTAGAGGCCGGAGGCTCTCATTGCGCTGCCTTGGGGCATCTCTCCGAGGCCCCGCCCCCACCGCTTCTAAACGGGGGAAGGACGGTGAACTAGCATTTATTAAGCGCTTACTACGTGCTCTGCCTTATACATCCCTCCTTAATCTTAGTGCCTTCACTCTGAGACTCTGTGTTTGCTCATTTTTTGCTTGCTGTATCCCTTCATTAGACTGAGCTGTTTGAGAGCAGGGACTGTCTTTTGCCTTTTTCATCCCCAGTGCTTTGCACTGTTTGGCATACAGTAGGAGCTTAATAAATACTAGTTGACTAACTGACACCTTAGTAGGGGTGTAGTGGGGAGACTGCTCTAGTAGCTACACTGGGACAGCGTGAGACCCTGAGAAGGGACTCCTCTAGGCAAAAAATAATAATAATAATAATACTGATTATTTTCTTTTTAAATAATTAAACTTCAACAGTTCAGGGGAGGGGCCTCCCAGGTGTGTGAGGGGGTGGAGACGCTATCAAAGCAGAAGAGAAGCTGATCAAGAATTTAGTATTTTAGAGAGTAGCTTGGGGGCACTGATATGTTAAAGAGCTTTCATATTCTATTTGTTTCAGCTGTGAGATTTGAACTTAGGACATCCTCACTCCGAGACAAGCTGGCTACTCACAGAACCTCTTGAAAAATGGTTATGTTGTCCTTCATTCTCCAAGAAGACCAAAATAACATTACTATGTTGGAGTCAAGGTATAATACATCCAACTGTGGCTGATCAGACCAATGAGAGCTTGGAAGGCTGTAGCACGGGTCAGGCACAAATAGTCCAGATGAACATTTGCAGTAGAGATGTCTCTAAATTTGAACATTTCACGTTTTCTTTGAGCTCCTACAATTCTGCTTGGCTCATGGAGCACAGCACCATGCTGGGTGATTCTGTGCCACTGTTTCCTGTTTCACAATCAATTCCAAAGTTCTTCAGACAGATCTTCAGAGCATCCTCGTATCGATTCTGAACTCCCTAGGAGCGCTTGCCTGCTGTGAGTTCTCAGTGCCTGGTACCTTACCTTGCCAGGTGATTTTCAGATTGTCCCAAGACAATTCAAAAGGAAGTGATTTATCCCTGTGTGGAGATCCCCTCTATACAGAAGTTAGAGGCTGTCCCACCAACTGCTTGTGTAACATAGAGCAAATCATTAAAACCTCTCTGGCCTCTGTTTCCTCATCTGTAAAATGAAGGAGTTGGTCTAGATGACTTGTAAGATCCTTTCTATCTCTAACTCCTGTGATATTAACCTAAAAATAGGTGTCAGAGAAAAATTTATTCAGTAAGACAAAATGTTTCACATGATATACAAAGGGTAGTTTACCAGGTCAAGTCGCATCCTTTTCACAATTCCCCAGGGACCTATCCAGCCTCTGAATTCCTCTATTAATTTTCCATCTAAAGGAATTATCTGGCAGTTATCTGCTGCTTTGTATTATTACATGTCTTTTTCATGTAAAAGCCCTCTCTCCCTAACTTGATTATAAACTCCCTGAGGACAGGGACCATGGCTTTGTATCTTTAATCCCTAAAAAAGTGTCTTGCACAATAGATGCATGCTGATAATGACACAATTTAATTCAATTAAATTCAGCAAACATTTATGAAGTAACTACTGAAGACAAGGTACGTAGTCTTAGTAGAAGGGAGAAAGAGACCGTAAAATTTCCTGTAAATCCTCATTGGAGAAGATCTAGTGAAGGAGATTAAGGACAGACAGACAGAAAGTTGTGATGTTACTTATGCTTCAATTGTGTTGGCCACACAGCAAAGATCATATGTACCTTTTCACATTGTGGTGTGAAGCTCTATTGCCTGAGTTTAGAGTTGAATTATATTAAGTAAAAAAAAAAAAAGTCCATAACTTTGGTCTGTATCTTGCCAGAGAGGACATTACTGTAATATCACAGAGTACTTATCTCACAGGGGTGTGGTAAGGTTCAAATGAGAGTGTACAGAAAGAGCTTGGTAATCTTTTTTGTTTCATGAACTCTTCTGGCAACCTATGAACCCCTTCTCAGAATAGTGTTGTTTTTTTTTTTAATGCATCAAAGGATGATGAGGGAAACCAATTTTATTGAAATAAAGTTATCAAAATATTTAGAAACCAAATTTTACAGACCCCAGGTTAAGAAATGCTATAAAGTGATGTGTGAATATATTTATAGATATATGCATATATTTTACATACAAATTTATATAGATAACAATGTCCCAAAGTCTCAGTGCTATTTTAAGCTACTAAACCTTAAAACTGTGTTATTAAACTATAAGCTATTATTAAATTTTAAGCTATTAAAGTTTAGAACTGCATTAAGACCTCACAAATGCCTTGTATTGGTATATCTATATTATGTCAGTTATGATTATGTTAAAAGTTGTGGTGAATTTTCATGTTTCTTCCTGACTATAGCAATGGTACCACATAACATTTCTTGGTCATACCTGTAGAATATGTCTTCTAGTCCTTGTCTATATAATGAGAAGGGTTGGACAAGATGAGCTCTTTACTCCTTTCAGGTTACAAATATAAGGATCTTGTCCATGTTATTCATCTCAGCAGTTCTTGACCTATTCCCATGAGGTGATGACATATTTTACAGATTTAAGACCCTTAGGTATGATTTAATTAAATAATCATTTATGAACTACTACACCATATAAAGTCATAGCTTAGGTCCCACCAGTTATTATACAGATATATATATTTATAGTTATTCTATATTATATAGTTATTCTATATTATATAGTTATTCTATATTATATATTTATATATAGGCCAGTTATTAGCATTTAAAGTTACTTTGCATCTACTTTGTATTTAATTACTTGGAAATATATTGGTTTTCCTCCATTAGAATGTAAATTCCTTGAGAGTAGGAACTTTTCTTTCACTATCTCCCTTTTTCTCCCTCTATCTCACTTTTCTCTTGTAGCTAGGTGGTAAAGTGACTAGAGTGCTAGACCTGGATTCAGGAAGACCAAATCCTAACTCAGATACTTCCTACCTGTGTAACCCTGGGCAAGTCACATAACCTCTGCTTGCCTCAGTTTTCTCATCTGTAAAATGGGGATGATAATAGCACCTGCCTCCCAGGATTATTGTCAGAATCAAATGAGCTAATATCTGTGAAACTCTCTATGAACCTTATAGTGCCATATAAATGCTAGGTATTATCATTCCCAGCCCTTAGCTTCCTTGAACCTAGTAAGCATTAGGTTAAATTGGATTGTTGAAAATGGACAGTATGGCCATAACAATGCCTCTCACTGTATAATCCAGATACTAAGAATTCGATTTATATTAGAGGAAGCATGAGGAAGGGCAGCTAGGCGGTACTATATTAGGCGGTATAGAGCACTTGTCTTGGAATCAGGAAGACACATCTTCATAAGTTCAAATCTATCCCCAGATATTTACTAGCTTTGTGACCCTGGACCAGTCACTTCACCCTGTTTGCCTTAGTTCCTCATCTATAAAAGGAGCTGGAGAAGGAGATGGCACACTACTCCAGCATCTTTGCCAAGAAAACACCAAATGGGGTCATAGAGAGCAGGACACGACTGAAAAACAACTTAACAACAAAACAAGCATGAAGATTAGCAACTTTCAATAAAACTTTTTGGGTTTTTTTTTCTTTTTTTTAGAGAGAAAGTTAGATGCTAGTTTTACTGGTTTGCAAGAAGCTTGAAAACCACAACTGTAGCTCAAGTTGTGCTTACACACAGAGTTTAACATCACAGTCACTCAATAAATTTTGTCAGTCTAATCAGTTGTTACAGATGGCTGATTGTCTTTTGTACTGATGACAATCCTGTGTCTGGTTTAACTCTGAACATGAGCAAACTAGAAGCAACCTTTCGAGTGGAGTCATACCATACTAGTGTCTTGGCAGGACATATAGCCAGATGGGCCATCCCAAACCAAAAAGGCAAAATACCAAAAAGATCATTTGTTCTAATCAACCAAGAAATGTCATTTGAGTACTGAATGTGAAAAGCACTGTGCTGAGTTTTGGGGATGAGCAGAAATAAAGAACATGATCCTTGTCATGAAAAAAATGATAGTCTAGGTGAAAAAACAAGACTAATACATGTAAAACAGTATTGAAAAACAAAAAATAATGTATACCTGAGAGTCAATTTTTACGGTGTTTTTTGTAGTAATGGTGGTGGTGAGCTGTTTCGTGTGGTAGTAGGGAGAGTTCAGACCTGTGATTTCTTTGGTGCAGGGAATTCCCAGTGCATAAATCCACTCCATTGTTAGAGACTGGCAATTCATTTGCAATATACAACTATAGTACAGATAAATGCTATAGAAATTGAGAAGGAAAGAATCTATCATAGTGCCTGGAACACAGTAGGCACTATGTAAATGCTTGTTGTTGACTCTTTTACACACCTGAAATGTCCTTTTACATGGGAACTTTTTTAAGACAAAAGCAAAAACTAAAAAAATTGTTCAAAAATGACATTAGAAATGTGTAATTTAAAAAGTAATAATAATGATAATTTGTGTTCATATAGCATGTTGAGGGTTTAAAAACACTTTTCTCACAACAACCATGTAAGGTACTTAGTGCAAATATCATTTCCCTCATTTTACAGATGAGAAATCAAGACTCACAGAAAAGTAAGTCATGTGGCTCACCCACAGTCACACAACTGTTTTATTGCTA